TGACATCTAAAGGGTATTACCTGATAAAGGTTGAAGGATTAGACCATGTGGCTGCACGGCAGATGTGAAGAAGTTCAATTTCACGCTGGAAGGCAGTAGATGTTGACAGTGCTCTGGTGGAATGTGCTGTTAAATGATCAGGAGGTAGTTTGCCTAATAGCTCATAAGCTAATGAGATGGTTTGGATGATCCATCTAAAGATAGACTGTGGGGAAGCTGGTGCTCCCTTGTGAGGACCATGAAAGCAGAGATAAGTACAATGAGGACAAGTTGAAGAGACCATTGAGGGACAATACATTGACGTGGAAGGTGAATATTATTGAGTCCCTTGAGAAATTGTTTTAAAGTTGGGTGGGAGAAGAGTTTAGCTGATTTAGAGTTGTTAGGTTGATGAGCAATGATAGCTGAAATATACACCATCAAAGTGGAGTAAGACAGTCCGAAGTTAAACAGATGAAGGAGGAAGGTGCGTAAAGTTTTCAAGAGAACTGGAGTTACAGTTAAGTCATTTGAATTGGTAAAGGATAAGAATGCTTTCCATTTGTTTTTATATAGGAGCTGTGTTGAGGGTTTTCGAGCCCAATCAAGCACATCCTTTATGGCAGGAGTATCCTCCAGGCTGTCAGATTCAGAGACGGGATGTCTGGATGGTAGATCATCCCGTTGTCTTGTGGTAAAAGGTTGGGGATCAGAGGGAGTCTGAATGAATCTGTTGACATCAACCTGAGGTGAGTGAACCACGGTTAACATGCCTACCATGGAGCAATGAGAATTGCATTGGAATGGAATTGATGGATTCGAATGATAGCCCTCTGTATGAGTGGTATAGGAGGAAATAGATAAAGTAGGCTTTCATCCCAGCTTGTCATGAATGCATCCCCAATCAAATTTCTGGCAATCTGCAAGGGAATTTTCTTCTGTGGCTACATTCCCAACCTCTATTGGGAATATGTGATGTAGGTAACACCATTCCCACAGCTCGACTGTGAGGTAGAGAAGGGACAAAGAATGTGTGCCTCCGTGCTTGTTCACATAATACAGAGTGGTAGCGTTGTCTGTAATGAGCTGGACTGCACGTCCCGCGATGAGTGGCAGGAAGGTGTGAAAAGCTCTGATGATTGCTAAGAGTTTGAGATGATTTATGTGTAGTAATTTTTCTTGATTCGTCCATAGGCCATGAATCTTGTGATGTTGGCAGTGTGCTCCCCATCTCGACGAGCTGGCATTGGTAATAACTTGTATCATCTGTTGGAGAGGGAGAAAGGGTCGCCCGACAATTAGATTTGGGAGAAATGTCCACCAGGTGAGTTGATGAGCTAATTCAGACACATAGATGGGTGGTCTGTCATGTGATTGAATAGCGACAGGTACCACGACTGAAGTGATCTCATTTTGCATCAAGCATGTTGCATTACCAAAGTTGTTGATGCCATGAGTCTGAGAAGATGTTGTACATGATGGGCCGATACAGAAGCTAGAGGTCGAAATGGCTGAATGTTGTTTTTTAATTTGAGGATTCTCTCTCGTGGAAGAAAAGCTCTGGCTTGTAGAGAGTCGAAAAGAGCCCTGATGTAGGTGGCAGTTTGAAAAGGTTCTAAATGTGATTTTGTGAGATTCACCTTGAGGCCGAGATCTTGGAGTGTATCAAGAGTAACACGAGTGGCTCTGATGGCATCGTGATGAAATAAGGAGATTATCAGCGAGTCGTCTATGTACAGAAAGATGTTGATACCTTGAAGTCGAAGGTATGCAGAAACTGGTGCCATACATTTTGTGAAGGTTCTCGGTGCTGTGGAAAGCCCAAAGGGGAGCACGCAGTACTGGTAAGTGATGTTGCCGAGCCGGAACTGAAGAAATTTGTAGTGGTACAGATGAATAGAAATGTGGACGTATGCATCTTAAAGATCAATCACAACAAACCTATCTCCCTGCAAAAGAAGAGGAATGATAGTGTCTAGTGTGAGCATCCGAAAACGTCAGGGTCAAAAAAATTTGTTGAGATTTCTGATATCGAGGATGGGTCGAAGTTCTCCATCCCTTTTAGGTATGGTAAAGTATCTGGAGTAAAAACCATCTCTTAAATCATATGAGGAGGCTGTGATTATGGCTTGTTTTTGCAGAAGAGAGACTTCTTCTTGGAGGATTGTGGAATGTGAGGTATTTTTGACTCTTCCAATTGGTGGAAATGATTTAAATTCAATAAAGTAACCATGTTTGATAATAGAGAGGAACCATTTATCATTAGTTATAGACTGCCATGTATGAAAAAATGGACTTAATCTTGTTTGGAAGTGAATTCAAAATTGGGGAAACTGCAATAGAGGCTTAAGGTATTGTTTACCCTTTTTCTGGGGTCGACGAAAGGATTGGCAATGCTGTTGTTGTTGGTTTCGAAAAGGCAAAGGTGCTGAGGTCAATTGTCCTTGAAATGGTTTGTCTGATGATTGTGGTCTATATTGTCAATATTGTTGGAACTGCTGATATGATTGTTGGTAGAAAGGCTGCTGGCGGTATTGTGCACATTGGAATCTGTAAGGTTGTTGTGTAGAATAAGACTGGGCAGTTTTGCGTAATTTAAGAAGGTTCTCCATGACTTCATCAGTTTTCTGATTAAATAGTCCAGACGGTAGATCTTCGATTCTGGTTTTAGCATCATCAGAAAGACCAGTAAATCGAAGCCATGCATGACGTCGCAATGTGATGGAACTAGCCAAAGATTTAGATGCACCATCTGTAGTGTGTCAAGATACAATTCTTTGCTGCTTGGAAAGCTGCTTGGAAGGCTTCTGTACAGATGTTCATGGCTTCTGATTTGACCAATTCTGCAGCTAATTCACGTATAGGGAGAATTTTGCTCCACAGTTGTTTGTAGCACATTCCCATAGTTGCCCGATAGTTTGAAACTTGCAGTATAAATGAGGTGAGGGAGTATAGACGTCTGCCCAGTATATCCAGTTTTCTACCTTCTCTATTTGTAGGGGCTACAGAAGACTTGCTACGGGCTTTAGATTGATTAGATTCAACTATTATTGAGTTCGGTGTAGGGTAAAAAGCTGGTATCAGGTCCATGTGTTTATAATGATTTTCTGTACATCTGGAGATTTGTAATGATGATGGTTTATCCCAAGATTCCTTAATTAAATCTAACACAGCTGGAATGAATGTGAGACTAAGTGGAGGTGTCTTATCCTGATTAATGTTGTTGAAAACCAAGTCCGGTTTGGATGATGGAGGCTCCTCGATCTCAAGTTGAAGAGACTTGGCCATCCTAGCGACTAGCTGGGAGTAGGATGTAAAGGCTTCTGACGGTGACGGTGGGTGATTCTCACTGATATCGGAGGTTGGTGTTGGTAGGTTTGATGGTGATTCCTGTGATGTATCTGGTCTTGACTGGATGAAGATGAAGATGGAGAATGGTCTCGAGGTCTTGGTGTTAGTGGTCCTGCTGAGAAAGGTTGAGTTGTAGAAGGGAGGCATGTGGAACGCCTTTCTGAATCAATGGTAGGAGGGGGGCTTTGTAGGTAGTGGTAACTTGCAGTGACAGATTTGGATGACTGTTTGGAACATTTGGAATGGAGATGTTGGACAGCAGGTAAGGAACGTTTTAGCGTTGGCTTGGCTGGAAGATAGAATAGTCTGGTACTGAGTGTTGAGATTGGTGTCGGCGTTGAGGTGGAGATGGAGATGGAGATGTCAATGGTGAATACGGAGATGGATACGGCAGTATATAACGGACTTGTTTTGGTTCCTCATAATACAGCTGGTTCTTGAGGATATTCAACCATGTACGGGTCATAGTGATAATATTTCTTTCTCCCTTCATCCCGAGTTTGGTATCGGGATGGTTCAGGGTAGTAATAATACTCCTGATGTGGAGTCTTGTATTGAGGAGGAGAAAGATGTCTCCATTTCTCTCTCTGTTTCCTCAGAGAGTAGTGCAGTGACTCAGAGCCTGAAAGCTCAATCGGGATCACCCACCCTGAGGATACAGGGCTTGAATTGGCTGAGGCCTGGCTGGATTGTACCTCAGATGGAGAAAGGCCAATGCTCGGCGACATGCTACCAGTGGAGACATGAAAGGGCCTGGGGTGGCCATAAAGAACGGGTAGAATAAGAGGGAAAATGGTTGGGGGGGGGGAGGAAAAACACTGGTAGATAAAAATTGGAGAGAACTCACAGGAGAACACTGATGAAAAAAACAACAATAATAATCGAAACGAAATGAGGTTGGTTAAAATACTGATTAGAACGCTCCAACTGAAAATTGCTCGCTCTCTCCGAAACAGATCAGAACGACATGGCGGAAAAAAGGAACTGAGGGGAATTTAGGATGGGCTGAGCATGCGCTCCACAGGGGAACATCCCACTAATAATATGTCTTTAAGCTCTAGAATCTTCCAAGATGTTCAGTGCAGGTGCAGAACAACCCAATTGTTTGTATTCACAGATGCCAGGAAGAAGAATCTAGGGGTGCAACTATGTCTGCAGATGTTGTCACCTGGGCAATTTTCAGAGATTAAACATTTCATTACTTCTGTCCTGCCTCTCTCACAGCTCTCCTGTAATCATGTGAAAGCCATGGGAGCCACAAGATGGGATGAGAAGTCTTTACTTATCAAAAAATTCCACCACTGACTAAGCAATATAAAATGCTGATTTTTAGGGTTTCAGATAGCATTAAGAGCTTACAAGGGCTTTGGCATCTTACTTGTTTTGGGCTGCAACTCCCAGAATTGGGGATTCTAGGAGATGCCATTCAAAAAAAAAGGCATGGGGCCTTTACATATAGCAGAGACTCTCTTTTGAAGGAAGCAATGACAAAAGCAGGTGGGCCCAGCCCAATATAAACAGAGCTTATATCTCGAAGATAAAATAGAAGACAAAACTCTCTTCTTATTCTGGAAAATAAGGTTTATGTTGCAAACGTACTATAAACAACATGTGATCATTTAAGCTTCAGCTTTGGCAAGTCCTAAGAGTCATGGGAGTCAGTAACTTACCTTGCTGATGAACTTGCTTTCTCTACAGTAGACATCAGCTTTGCAAATGCATCGGTCACTTTACTGATGGTGTTGGAGGTTTCCAGCTTCGAAGTTGTCAATTCGTACAATTCTGGATCCACACCTTACAGCATAAAAGCATAATCAGTGACAGACAGAAATAAATGCCACATGTTCACTCTCAATGCACAATACTGTATTTCCCCTTTCTGTAAACATCTGAGCTACTAAATGTGCAATAAGAAAAATAGGTACAACTTCTTAATTTTCCACCTCGCACTACTGAGAGAATATTAGCGATAAAGTTGAAATACCAGATGTCAGCCAGCTGCTAAGTCTGAACAACTATTTTCTTTTGACTTTATAAAGCACAATGGTTTCAAATCAATAGAGCAAAGGTGGGTGACCTCAGGAAGGCTGAGTGCCATTTTTCAGATTTGCTGGCATCTTGTGAGCTGCACTGCACAATTTGCATACTTAATGTATGAGTGTGTGTTTTTTTTAAAAAAATACAGTTGTTACATACAGCAAAGTTTGTTACAATGGGTTTTTGTAAACTGAAAAAAAATCACTTTCTTTAGTGGCTGGGGGGACTGCATCAAAGTATTAAGGTTTAGAGGGTTCTGGTGGCCCCGCAGCATGGCAAAGCTGCCCTCATATCCTCAAAAGAGGAAAAAAAAATTAAGCTTTTCAATGAAGCTCTTACCTTTGTGTGTTTGTGCACTGGGGAACCTTTAAGATGCTAGGGTTAAAAATAAGGCTCTAGGAGCTAAGTGCAGTCCACAGGCCATATCTGCTCATGTATGTACAGTGACTTCATTACCACACATCATTTTTTAAGCTATCATTTTCATTTCATTTTACAGAACACAAAGTGCATCTGCAGTCCTTTCCTTATGCCTCTTTCTCCTTTTCAAAAAACTGTAAGCAGTATTTCAATCTTTTGCCTGTTTTCTCATCTTCTATTAGAAAAGAGTTAGGACAGAAACAAACCTCAAGAACCAACATAAATGTTCAAACATATAAAGATTATTTTTAGAAAATCCCAGCATTATCTGTGCAACCTGTAGTATATAGTAAGCTTTTTCTCCTGAAAAAAAAATGGATATCTGGGAGTACAAAATGGTAGCAAAGTAGTAGGGTCAATTTTTTTAATCGTCTTGACAAAGACTACAAGTTAAAATCTCATCTGTTTTCAGCAACCAGATGCACGGAGATTGAATGGTGCATATTATCTTCTTCTTTTTTGTATAATCAAAGCCAAAAATACTTGAATCTTGTATGCATTACAAACTGAAATAGTGCTAAATTAAAATACCGATATGAAACCAAAACACCATGCTGTTTAAATAATGTCAGATGTTTACAGAACCCTTAGAAACAAAAGGCGTAGGCCTTCTGTGGAATCAAATACAGAAACAATAGACTATAAGAAAAAGTAATGCACTATAAGAAAAAAGGCTTCTGAAATCCCATTAAGGTCTGCCAACTTGTAAAACGGTGAATATTTTTTTTTAAAAAAATCACAATGAATCAATGGTGATGTGTAAAACGGTTTGTAGCATGTTGCTATTTAATATTTTTAAGCTCTATATCCAACACTGCCATTAGCTGATCAGTACAGCATGATTATGAAATCATTGTTTGATGTGTTCTAATATTGCTACCATTTTACTAACTTTTAAGTCAATGTATTCAAAAGCATGCCTGAACAGGACAATCCCTTTGAAAAGACGTTTGTTAAGTTATATACTAATTTTTTGTTTAATGATGTATGGAAATCCCCATGAGCAATATTTATAGCATTTTAACAAGAAAAACAGGCATATCTAAGAACCTTAATGAGATCGAGGGACTTTAGGAACCAAGTTTAAACCAAGCTTCTAGCTTAAGCACACATATATACTACCACATACATAACCCACAAAAAGAGCTGCAGGCTAAAAGCATATGACTTTCCAAGAAACAAGCCAGAAAAACCTACAGGCAATGGTGAATCTGTGAATTGGATGACCAATTTCTGATGAGAAACCAGAATAAATGATAATGTGTCTTCATAATAATTACTTCAGATAAAGGTATTGAAAATCAAACTGCATTTTAATTGATGCCAAAAATACATGCACTAATAAAAATGTAATCAGAATTATTGAAATTAAAATGCCTGACTTAAAACTAGTATGCGGTTGTAGAAAATTACGGTACAAAACTCAATCTTCTACCTTCTGTTCCAAATGCTTGATCAATTTATTAATACACTGGAACTAGAAGTTATATTCTGCTTTAATGGTTATACAAAGCTGGAGGAAGAATCTCAGTAGCACAAAATCAAGAGTGTAGTCATTTCACTCATGAAATGAATCCACAGTATATGACAGAGCCCTGTTCTACCTACAGCGTCACAATGTGTACATGACTATGCATACAGCATGTTCTGGCATGTGCTAACAGCAAGTTTAGATCAGAATATATAAAGTGTCCACAGTTTCAAAACTGAGAAAGAATAACCATTAACTCTGTGTCCATTTTTGTTGGTTATACACATACAGGGTCAAATATGGAAGCCCCTTTTCCCCCTCTAAAAAATCAGAGGGTACAAGAGCCTTCTAAAACATGTAGCAATGCCATAGCTGCAGCATTTAAAAGATCAAGCTTCTTTTGTGACCTCTGCTCTTTAAAGTTTGATTTTTCTATAGATTAATCATTCAAAGTACAGTGAGCAGCATCTTTATCTTACAAGAAAAAGCAGCTGAAGTAAACTCTTAACTACAGTGTCTTGTCTGATTCCCCCCAAACTATACACTTATCTTTATTTTAAATATGAAATGTTAACAACACTAATTATCCAGTGGACCTACAATATATGCACCCTGCTTTAAATGCCAATTGCCTAACTTTTCTACAAAGTACCTACATAACCTGGTCTTTCTTAAGAATATTATCACTGGTAAAGGACCTTGTCAACATCTATGCTATTTTTTTTCTGTAGATTTTTAAGGAGTGTTGAGAACAGAGATACAAAATTCAAAGCAAACACACAGAATGAGGCCTGAAGATACTTCTGTTTTGTTTGAACAGCATTTTAAATCAGGACATTTCAAGACTCAAGTCTTCAGTTCAATTTGGTCAGGCATGTGAGGTCTTAGAACAAACAAAATCCACTTTCTGCATATGGGTTTACAGCACAGATCAAAAAGCATGAATTACCATTGAAAGTGAACGATGGAAGTGGATGCTATTTCAAAGTGGGCATCTTAGAGAAAATTAAAGCATAGATATTCTTCTTGTTTATAGGAAAGTCACATAATGCGGCTCATGCTTTTAGTAAGAATGTTAAAAGATTAAGTTTGCAGTGTTTAGGACTCTGCTGACCTGGGATGGTGGTGGCGGTGCTAGAGCTACTGTCATCCACGGGCCCAAAGAAATCAAGGTTCAGAAGAGTGGAACCTCCACTAGCTTGAAATTCAGTGACCGTGTTGGTAGGCAGCCATAAAGAAGGTAAGCCAAGGTAGGGATTTATGTGTAAAAAGGGGGTAAGACACACACTTGAACATGCCAGTTATAATTAGTACTCATTACATTGTGTTTTTAAATTAACATAATAGTGCTTACAAAGATTAGTTTGAAGTTTCTAAGATGTTAACAAGACAGTGTACATTCTCATGTACAAATGCAGTAAGTAGTTTGTCTCTAATAACTTAAAAGCTAGTCCACATTTTTTTAGAAAAATGGATAAAACCAGAGAAATTCAGAAAAGATGTGTCCAATTAAAGGGAAACATTTTTAAAAAGCAGAACCACTGTTTGAATTTATAGCCGTGTTTAAGAGGCCATAATTTAAGAGGCCAGTAAATTATATTTGCTAGTTTCAAATAGTGGATTGTCAGTAGGGTAGTACAATGATATATACAAATATTAGTTACAATGGTTCTCATTACATCCAGCTTCTTGAAGACAAATTATATAGTTCCCCTTTAATACTGAAACAGAAAAACCAGAAATAGATACATTTTAAAGAAACTGTTGTAAGAAAGCATGATAAATCAACTGTAGGAGTAAGACACCAGACAACAGCAAGAAAATCAGTCCATCCAGGCTTTCCTTCAGCACTTTGATATGAATCAAAGTTGCCATATCCTTCAATACTGTACAGCGGAATTTTCATGTCACTGATGTGGGTGTTAATTATGACAAGTCAGACTGCATTCTAGAGGCCAGATTAGGAAGCTGTGCCACTGCATGCTAAGATCGTGTTTAATTTAGAGGCATTTCAATGTTTCGTGTTCTTGGTAATTAAACCAGAGACAGTGATGAGATTACTATTTGCTTTCTGTTAAAAGGTTTACTCGAGTAGTAAATTTCACCATGTAAGTAAATAAAAACTGAACTATTATTTTAGCATATACAATGTCTGTACATTTTAAAACTATTTTTAAAAATGGATCTTTTTCAATCAGATTTTTTTAAAAAAAACTGTATTTGGAAGCAACTATACTTGATTTTGCCACTTATAACTTTACCAAGAAGTCTAAATTAGATGAGATGTTATTGGGCGAGAGCTTTAAACTAGTGTCAAGTAAACATAATTTAACTATTCTAATCTTAGAACATGTAATGCATTATTTTATTCCACAGTTGTGTGTGTGCAACACAAATTCACAAAATGATGGCTTACCTTGCTCTTAAGCACTACAGATTGCTTTAAATTAGGCATAGCTAAACAGAAAGAAAGCCTGAATTTCCAAAGTTAAGAATTATATATGTATATATATATATAAGTATATATATATTTAAAATATCAGCAGAGAGATGTTTGTCTGAACTTTGTAGCTTGTTTAACTCTAGCTCTGGTGCTAGAGGCTCTACGGAGAGACGTACCATCTAAAGGGTTAGTAAGGCCACTGCTACTCCAGTCAAACTGGACAGGTGGTAGAGATTCCTAGAGTTGAAAAGTCAGAAATCAGATTTTATAGTTAGGTAACAGCATAATAAAATGCACCGCGTGTTCTTTTTTGCATGCAAGCAAAAAGGCATCAACTGAAAGCCAAAGGAAAAATTCTGAATAAAACCAGCCAAAGCATACACAATGAAGTCATTAAAAATATCCTCCCATGTAACTAACAAATAACTACGGATAACAGTCTGTTGTGAAGGCTGCCAGGCCTAGAAGTATATGTGGGGCATGGCAAATTATGCCAAAATGCAATATAGTAAGCCATTATGTTATATCAAAATTGCACAGACAATACTCTGGGAAAACAAGAGGGAAATAATGCTGGCAGAAATGTTTAATATTGAGGTGAGAGAAAAATAACCAGTCTCCCAAAAAACACAACTGTAATAATTTCTTTAAAAAAAAACATTTAGAAAGAAGAGTTCCTTAGAATGGAATTAAACAAGTGTATTCAACAGTTGGGTAAAAATGGTTTATCAAAATGCTGTTTACATAATTTTAAAATACTTAATTATTAAAAGTAGTATTTAGATGCAAAGTGTAGAATCAGCAGGCTTGTATCTTACAAAGGACTGGATTGTTAATATATTGGGTAAATTACATGATAGCATGGGAGGACAAACTGTGACCCGCCATTTTTTTTTTAACTGGTGCTCCTATAGTCTGATACTACTAGCCATGCTGATTAGGGTCAATTAGCACTGCGGGTCAAAAACACCTGGAGAGCCACAGTTGCCCACCCACTATGGACGTTTCTTCCACTTTAAGTAAGGACACTGAGGCCAGCATGAATAATTCTACTATGGTCTCTACTTGTGTTTTCAACATGCAGAGCAGAACAACCTCAAGCTGACAATTAATGTCACTTTATACTTCCATTTTAAAAGACTAAATGGATCGAATCTAGCCTCTCAAAAGATAGCACATACTTTCTGTTCATGGTGAGAAACAGGATCTAGCTGCTGATTTTCACTGATTACACTTTTATTCAGTGTGATCTTTCATGTTGTTCTGGAAAGCTTCTGAATACTTCAGAGTAGCTTTTCAAGAGACAGAAGGGGCTGAAGGAAGGAGTCTGATTTCTTTATAGCCACAGGCCCTTCCTCTAGCATAAGCCAAATTCTGCTAAACACATGTCTGGATCCTACCCCATGGCAAGAACTTAATCTGAGATTTTATTTTTTCCAGCTGGATCTTTTTTCTTAAGATGCAAATATATCCAAAATGATGCATTTGGATTCTCAGGAAGTTCAGCCTGTGAGGAGAAAACATAAAGTGCTACTGACCCTTTGGACTCTGAACACATTTTATCTGCAAAAACCCCCAAGATCTCTATTTATGTCTGTCTGTCTGTCTGTCTGTCTGCCTGCCTGCCTGCCTGCCTATCTACCTAACCTACCTTACCTACCTACCTACCTAAGGGGGCCACCCACCCACCCTAAGGGACACAAGAGACCTCAAAACAATTAAATTTATACAAAAAATAAGTTAAAATACTATATATAACAAAACAGTTAAACATTGATCAAGATTTAAAGCATTTTTAAAATATATTACAATATTTTAATTTCTTAAATGGAATGTTCCCCTGACTGCCATATATTGCTTAAAAGCCTGCCAGAAGAGGGAGGTCTTTGCCTGATGATGGAAGAACAAAGAGGAAGGGGGCAAAACTGGCTTCTCGGGGCAGTGTATTCCAAAGCCTGGGAGGAGCCGCTGCGAAGGCCCCCTCTCATGTCCTCACCAAATGACCTTGAAAAGGTGGTGGAAATTAAGAGGAGGGCCTCTCCAGAAGATCTTAAAAACTAAATAGACTCAAATGGGGGAAAACAATCTTTCAAACAGCCTGGACCCAAAGCCATATAGGACTTTATTATTTATAAGTAATAACCAACACTACAAATTTATTTATAAGTAATAAAAAGAGGTTACCTACCTGTAACCATAGTTCTTCTAGTGGTCCTCTGTGAATTCACACAAATGGGTTGTTCTGCGCCTGCGCTGAATGTCTCGGAAGATTCTAGAGCTAAAAGTAACAATTTAGTAGGACGTCCCAGCCTTATTTCTGAAGCACCTAGGCTCTTTCATTACTGGAAACATGTGCATAGTCCAATTCAGTGGTCACTCAGAGAGTGTCTCAGAGTCATAGGAACATAAGACTGATTCTTATCTTTTTTTCCTACAATATAAGGAATTTCGATATCAGGAAAGAACAAGACTAGAGGGATGGGGGAATGTTGTGGACACAGTGCAAAGAATCCTGTATCCATATGAAGTCTTGGAAGCAAAGCCCTTTCAATCCCTGGTCCAAAACGTCTCCAGTTCTTGCATACAGTCTAAGAAATTCCTCCCTTATTGGTCACAGTGAAAGCAATTAGCCTAAGAGAGAGACTGAGACTTAAGCAAGAGTGAATGTGTCCCTCTTCTTCCTTCCCTTCTGCCTTGCTGGCAACAACTTAGAAGGCCCTGGATTTCTTTCCTCTCTGGAGAGCACTTTTTGGTGGGCAATATATCATCTGATGCTTGTTGTGGGTTTTTTGGGCTCTTTGGCCATGTTCTGAAGGTTGCTCTTCCTAACCTTTCACCAGTCTCTGTGGACGGCATCTTCAGAGGACAGCACTCTGTGCTCTGGTGCAGTTTGCTTGGGAGTGGAGTATTTATGGCTGTGAGATAGCCTTTTGTCCTATTCAGGAGATGGGTGATTAGTGTGTCTTGTTGTGGGTGAATTGTTGTGATAAGGGGAAGAGATTATCATTGTGATTGATGGGTGTCATTAGCTGGTCTTTTGTGTGTAGTGATCCCCAGTCCTTGTCGCTGGGTAGAGGTTGTTGACCTTTTGCAGGCTGTATTTTTCAGACCTGGAAGCCAAGTTTTGTTGAGTTTCAAACTTTCCTCTTTTTTGTTGAAGTTCTGCTGGTGCTTGTGGACTTCAATGGCTTCCCTGTGCAGTCTGACGTAATGATTGCTGGTGTTGTCCAGTATTTCAGTATTTTGAAATAGAATTTCATGTCCAGCTTGTTTTAGGGCATGTTCAGCTACTGCAGATTTTTCTGGTTGTTTTTAGTCTGTGGTGTCTCTCATGTTCTTTGTTTCTGGTGTGGACGCTTCGTTTTGTGCTTCCAATATATACTTAGCCACAACTGCAAGGTATCCGGTATACACCTGCAGTGGTGAGGGGGTCCCTTCTGTCCTTTGCTGACCGTAACATTTGTTGTATTTTTGTAGTGGGCTTGTATACTGTTTGTAGGTTGTGTTTTTTCAAAAGTTTCCCCATGCGGTCTGTGACCCCTTTGATGCATGGCAGAAATACTTTATTTGTGGGTGGCTGTTTTTCTTCTTCAGTTTGGTGTTGTTTTCTTGATTTGATGGCTCTTGTGATTTCATTTTTGGAGTAGCCATTTGCCTGTAGGGCCCAATTCAGATGGTTGAGTTCAGTGCTGAGAAACTGAGCTTCAAAGTTCCGATTTGCATGGTCTACCACTGTTTTGATTATGCCTCTTTTTTGCGCAAAACTGACCTCCGACTGGGCCACAAGGTCTACAGAAAACCCACCCACACAGACCGGTACATACACAAAAAATTCCAACCACAGTATCGCACACGCTTTGGTTCTTGATAATAAGAATGTCCTTGGTATGTTTCCATGTGATATGGATCACAATATGGGACTTTCTCCACATCAAAATGATGGTACCGTGGGAAATTGGTATACTGGTAGTACTTTCCGTACGGAGGCATATATCGAGGAGGAGAAATATGCTTCAGTACACAGCCAAAGAGCCCGAAAAACCCACAACAACCAAATATGCTTCAGTTTCTCCCAATGTTTTTGGGGAGAGTGTTGAGGAGAGCTCGATCCTGAAAGTTGGACCTCAATTGCCCACCCTGATGCAGGGCCAGAATGGGTCAAGGCCTGGCTGGCTGGTGTATCAATTGAGAGGCCAGTGTGGGGAGAAGCCTGGCGTATCAGTTGAGAGGCCAGTGTGGTGAAATAAGCTACCAATTGGCACCAGAGTGTGAGTCTTTTTTGTTCATGGCCGTCTCCCAAAGGTGAGATTGGAGCCTTTGCTTAAGTGCTGGCTTGGTCAATATTTTACATGCCGCACAAGAATGGTTTGGGTGTTGCTCACCCAAGCAGAGTAAACAGCATTTGTGGCCGTCAGATAATGAGATCTTATTTGAACAGCCAACACACCTTTTAAAAGGAGCTGTTGAGGCCATAAAGAGCAGGAAACCAGAGGGAGAGATGGTTGAAGAGATGGGGGAGGGGCGGGAAGCCAAAAGCGGGAAAGGCAAAGAAAGGGAACTGGGGAAAGGGAATAGGAATAGGAAAGGGAATAGGAAGGTATCAATTTAGGTGTTGATTAGAAGAGGAAATACTTATATAGTTGCTAAAATCGCTCAGAAACACGCTTTGTTCTTCTGGAGATCTGATCAGCATGGCGGAAAAAAGGAACCAAGGGGAATCTTAGGTGGGCGGAGCATGTGCTCCACAGGGGAACGTCCCACTAACTTTGTACTTTTAAGCTCTAAAATCTTCCGAGACATTCAGCGCAGGTGCAGAACAACCCATCTGTGTGCATTCAGAGAGGCCACGAAGAAGAACCAGCACTTTGAATTGTGCTTGGAAACAGACTGGCAGCCAGTGAAGCTGTTGTAATAAGGGAGTTACATAATCCCCATAACCAGCATCAGTCAGCAGTCTGGCTGAAGCATTTTGAACCAGCTAAAGTTTTCAAACCCTCTTCAAATGCAGCCTAACCTAGAGGGTGTTACTGTAATCCCAATGAGATGTAACTAAGGCATGTATCATCATGGTCAGATTGGACATCTCCAGGAATGACTGCAACTGGCGCACTAACTTTAATTGTGCAAAGACATTCTTGGCCATCACTCTGTTCCTCTAAGAGGAACCTCAGCTGTGAACCTGACTTTTCAGGGAGAGAGTAACCCCATCCAGTTCAGGCTGGATCCCTATCACATGATTTGCCATATGACTAACCAGGAGCACCTCAGTCTTGTCTGGATTATGTTTCAATTTGTTAGCCCTTATCCACTCCATTGCTGACAACAGGTGTTGGTCTAGGCACATTAAAACTTCCTCAGAAAGGAGAGATATTGTGTGTCATCAGCATACTGATGGCACTGAAACTCAAAACTCTGGACAATCTCTCCCAGTGGTTTCATGGAGTTGTTAAGTAATATGGGGGATAGACTGAGCACTGGGGGACACCATGGGCCAAATGGCCAGGATATTAAGCAGGATTCCTCCAACACCACCTTTTGAGTTTGGCTAACCAGGAAGGGTTGAAACCACTGTAAGACAGTACTTCCCATCCAAGAAAGGCACTCCAGAATAATAATATGATCAATGGTATCTAGTAGAACCAACAGGGACATGTTCCCTCTGTCCAGTTTCCAACATAGGTCACCCAGCATAGTGACTAAAGCCATCTCTGTTGCATAATGAGGCCTAAAGACAGGTTGAAATGGATCTAGGTAATTCGTACCATCCAGGAACCTCTGGAGCTGGGATACTCCAAAACAACATACTCCAAAGCCTTGACAAAAATGGAAGATTGGAGACTGCCCAATAATTATCCAGCACAACAAGGTTTAGGGAGGGCTTTTTAAACAAAGATCTTACTACAGTGTCCTCTAAGTACCCTGCCTTGCTGCAAGGAGGCTTTCACCACTCGCTTAATCCACTGAGCCAGTCCCCCTCTGGCTGATTTTATAGGTCTCCATCAAACTCATTTCATTATCCCTAGCTCCTCAGTAAACCAAGGCTGCACTTTGTGGGAAGGACACTTAGGAGTGATCGTGTTGATAGCCCTGGCCACCTCCACATTCCACAGATCCACCAAGGCCTTGATAGGATCACCTGCCAAGACAGCCAGAAACTTCAAGAGTTCTCAGGAAATGATTTGGACACATCAGTCTCCTGTGTGTGTGTGTGTGTTTAGTCGTTTAGTCGTGTCCGACTCTTCGTGACCCCATGGACCAGAGCACGCCAGGCCCTCCTGTCTTCTACTGCCTCCCGGAGTTGTGTCAGGTTCATGTTGTTTGCTTCGCAGACACTGTCCAGCCATCTCATCCTCGGTCGAGCCATCTCATCCTCGGTCTTCTTCATGGATTGCTGCCTTGTCGTGGCGAAGGGGCTTGAGTAACTCAGAGAAACTATGGGCTATGCCGTGCAGGGACACCCAAGACGGACAGGACACACCTCCACATTCCACAGATCCACCAAGGCCTTGATAGGATCACCTGCCAAGACAGCCAGAAACTTCAAGAGTTCTCAGGAAATGATTTGGACACATCAGTCTCCTGTGTGTGTGTGTGTGTTTAGTCGTTTAGTCGTGTCCGACTCTTCGTGACCCCATGGACCAGAGCACGCCAGGCCCTCCTGGCTTCTACTGCCTCCCGGAGTTGTGTCAGGTTCATGTTGTTTGCTTCGCAGACACTGTCCAGCCATCTCATCCTCGGTCGAGACATCTCATCCTCGGTCTTCTTCATGGATTGCTGCCTTGTCGTGGCGAAGGGGCTTGAGTAACTCAGAGAAACTATGGGCTATGCCGTGCAGGGACACCCAAGACGGACAGGACATAGTGGAGAGTTCCGACTAAACGCAATCCACCTGGAGTAGGAAATGGCAAGCCACTCCAGTATCTTTGCCAAGAACGCCCCATGATCAGAAACAAAATGATCAGAATCAGTCTCCTAGGGCAGACCATTTCAATTGGTCCTCCACCCCTGTAGAGGCTCAGAATTCCGATGTGCCTAAACCTTATCAGGTAGTGATCTGTCCATGACAACGGAACTACTGAGAATTCCTCAACACCCAGATTATCATCATCTTGTCCAGTACAGAAAATCAGGTCAAGAGCATGCCCTGGAGTATGAGTGGGGCTAGATACCACTTCGGACAAGCCCATGATCACCATGGTAGTCATGAAGTCCTGAGTCACTCCTGACAAACTGGTCTCCACTTGGATGTTGAAATCCCTTACTATAACAAGCAGAAGCAAGTGCAGCACCACACCTGAGACCAGATCAGCCAAGTCCTGCAGAGAGACTGTTATGCAGAGTAGGCAGTACACCAACAGAATCACTATTCTGTCCTGAGCACCTGCTTTCAGGTATATGCACTCAAACCCAGCAGTCTGTGGAACAGGGCAACAGGTAAAGGTGATTAAATCTCAGCAGACTATTGCAACTCATAATTCCTGCCCTTCCCCCGCCCAGCCTGGCCTGCAGCTAAATACAGAATATAGGTGGACAAAGCTGAGAAAGACTAACTCCCCTCTGGCCTGCAGCTGAATACAGAATATAAGTGGACAAAGCTGAGAAAGACTAACTCCCCCAGCTTCGTTCAGGATCAACTCTTGAATATTAGCTATCTTACCTTTCACTAATCTGGCATTTAGTGACAGCACCTTCAACCCAGGGTTTTTGCCACTGAAAGCTAACAAGGCTACTTGATCTGGGAGATTCTATTTTCTACCCTCCTCCCATGACGTTGTTAATGTCTCCAGACTCTGTATCGCCTCTGCCCTCTGTAATTGTAATGGCTGCTCCCTGTTCCTCTCCTCAACATTCCCCTCCTTTGAAAATACATCTGTCCTCAACAAACAAAGACATCACAACAGCAGGCAGAGGACACATTAAATAAGTCCTTGTGATAATGTCACCACTCTCTCTTTTCCATCTCATCTTTAACACCTATTTGGAATGAAAGCATCTCCCTGTTGCAAAGAGGCATAATATGGGGCAAGGAAAGTCAAAATTGTGCTGAAGAATTATTTCATGGAAGTGTCCTGTTGGTCTTAATAATTACAGCTTTCATAATTATCTACAAGTAGAATATATAACAACAGAATTTGCCTACTAATCCAATATTAATATGACTAAAACTGTTTAAAGGTTTTCTTTTTAACTTTATTCTGAAGGCCCATCATTACAAAACTCTAGAACATTACCTTGCCAAAGCAACTGTCTACAGGGCAACAAAACAGATGACAACAAGTGCCCTTGAAGAGAGGCTCCATATTGTACCCAAAGGTGCGGTCTCCTAAACCACTCTTTGCTTGAAGGGGCCACCATCTAGTCATCCTGGCTAATCTTTGTTTGGGATTATATAAAACTCTAGGAAGATCAGATGATAGGTAGGAGAATTTCAGTGTTAGCATCAGATACATTTAAGGATCCCCAACACTGGTATGGAAATCATCATTAAGAGACATGTGATTTGCCCTGCAGATGCTGATCTGAAGATTATTTTAAGATAAAAGGGATTTGGCAATATTTAAACAAGAGATTATTGCTATATGTGTTCCATATGGAAAGGAAATATTAAATGACAATCACCTCATGAGACCAGCTTCATGTAGGGTTCTATATAATTCAAAGCTCTTTGCAGAAAAAGGTAGTCTAATTGTTTTACTCACATTGAACATCCTACTCTTTCTGGGTGTATTGTTTTTTTAAAAAAAAAAACAAGACACAAAAGAAATATCCCACACACTACATGTGCTAGATTCATTACACTTCTAAATTATGTTCATAACTTCAGAAGAAGTATATTATAGTTTAGTTCTTCCTATCTTTTGCTCCCTCCCTATCTCTTCTGTAATTCAGGCAATCTATATCTAAATATCAAAGAGAAAAACCCAAATATTCAGTATAAAAACTCAGTTTTATGACTTGAATATAGCATTTCTTTCAAATGTCAAATATGGGAAAGTAAAAAAAAGCAGAATTGATGAAATCTAAGAGCTTTAAGGCAGGAAAGTAAAGTTTAGTATAAAGAGATGTAGGAAAATATGACTTTTTAAATAAACAATGGTAATGAATTCAAAACTCGGTTGTTTGTGGTGAAAACAGTGCTAATATTAAGGCAGATCAAATAATTCGTCCTTTCTCTTTCTCGCTGTTGGCAGAAAACCAGAGCCTTAGCTATGAGGCTTCTAGTTAAATGAAAAAAACAAAATAGGGGTAGAGTTGGGAGAAGAACACATAATAAAGAAAATGTCCAGAGAAGCAAAAGCTAAGGGAGAAGTCATTTTAAAAAAACCAAGAGCAATGAGCATATACAAATCAGCATATTTGGCAGGCGTATACCTAGAGCCCATGTTATTACTGTTTTAGTTTTTTTACCTGGGATTGATCAGGTGCACATATATTCATCTCTGGTGATATAGCTGGAGTCTGTCCTAAGGAAGCTATTTTCTCTGCAGCAGACAATGGTTTCAGGGGCTCCTTGGTCGGTTCTAACATACCCTAGAAATGAAAAAAAAATCTGAGGTTCCAAAAAAATGTATTTTTGGAGCAGCAGTCAAACAGATGTGGAGACTACGTGGCCCTTCAGAGACTGTTCGACTGCAACTCTCATCAGCCCTAGGCAGCAGCATAAGCAAATATGAGCAATCATGGAAACTGGAGGCATCTAACATTGCTTTCACTGTTTTTGGTTCTAAAGAAACATTTTTCCCAAACTTTACCATCTGATTAACTTTGGGTATTTTCCTTGTTGACTGCTTATTGTAACAGAATGCTTCCTTTCTATCCTTCCGCCAGGAAAATAAGGTTAGCATTATTTTCTGGACCCTTTAAAAAACTATTATAGTAAAAGAAACATTAGCCAATTGTTTTAGTTTTAATCTGTTATTTTTTTGATATACTACCCTGTAAAAAATTAAACTATTGCATTTTCTAACAAAGAGGAGCTGTTCACACTCCATAGCACAAGTACCTCATACAACATTTTTTTGTTTAGCTCTCTATTTCAGTGTGCTATTATTACAACGGTTACTTAGGCAATACTGGCCTAGAGAGGCATGGTTTGCTTTATATAAGCATATATTTAAAAAGAGATATAAATATGGTCAAAGGCATAATATTAGTACAAAGATAACTGCAATCTGAACAGACAGGCATAACCTTAAATTTATGACTGTTATCAGTGTCACATCATCTCTAAGAGCTGATGATCAAAAGATCTGTCTGAAGAAAGACTAGAACTTTCCTTCAGAGGAAAATACAGTGGTGCCTCGCATAGCAATCGCTCCATTTAGCGATGAAATTGCATTGTGACAATGTTTTTGCGATCGCAAAAGCGATCGCTTTGCGATGGTCCCTATGGGATATTATCGTTTTGCAATGATCGCAGGGAAGTGAGCATCACAAAGCCTCCATTTTTGGCCAGCTGATCGGCGGTTTCAAAATGGCTGCCGGGTAAGCAAAATGTCCGCCCACTGTTTTCAGGCATGGATTCCTCGCTTTAGAGGCACCGAAAATGGCGGTGCTATGGAGAATTTTCACTCAAAGGTGAGTTTTAAGCCCACAGGAACACATTAATCGCGTTTTAATGCGTTTCTATGGGCTTTTTTAATTCGCTTAGCGATGTTATCGCTTAGCAGTGATTTTTTCAGAACGAATTAACATCGCTAAGCGAGGCACCACTGTATAGATCTGGTATAATTGTGCTCCTCCCTTGCTGGTTTGCAGTAAGTACATGATATCAGATAGACAAATTACGGGTAAAACACAGTACAGTTTACTTTCAAACCAGAAGTAGAAATCCAGTTTAAAATGTAGTTCCCAGTTTTGTCTGGAAGCAAAATGCTGTATCCATAATGTGTCCAGTTCAGATGTCATTACAGGCCCTTTCTATTACTAAAAACAAACAAACAAAATCCCACAACTAGTAAGAAGTCAAAATATGTGTGAAAGGGATGAATGCACAACTGAAATACAGCCCAGAAGCCAAACATGATTTGGCAGTGATCCAGCAGATTAACTGTACAAGAACTTAAGAGTCAGGCAAAATCAGGCCAAGACTTATCACGTATGGCATTCAGGACCCAATGTGGCTGATCAGCAGCCTAACAAAAAGGCCCATCAATCAACATAAAAGCAACAGTACCCTCTCACTGGTGTTCCACAGACATACCACCAGAGTTTGGATTATATTCCCATCTCCAGAACAGCAGCATCTGTAACCCAATTTTTATCCAGGTAATGAATGTGGGTGGTAGTACTGTACTTAAACAGCACTAAATAAAATATAATTTTACTAGTTTGCTAAGGTCTTGAACTATAACTAATAGAATGATATATTTTCCTTTTTCATAAAGTACAACACATGCTATTAATGTTCACAATTATACCACATATACAATTATTTATTTACTGAAATAAAATTAAAGTTACTTTTACATCCCTTTTTAATGGAATTGTTACAACTTACCAATCCTGCTGCATACATGGGCACAATGACAGGTTGCTTCCTGTTGCCAGTGAAGAGCTAAGGTAAAAGACATTTACATCTCATTAAACTGAAACGCTTTAATCACAACACAGTTCAGTTAGTCTAAAGATGTACTCTGGGCAACAGCCTGTCTTCAGATGTATACTTACAATATTTAAGATAAAATTACACTCTTAGAAATAAAACTTTGCACTGATCTTTATGCCAATAAAATGGGAAAAGCAGAATAGAAAGAACATGTCTTTCTTGATAACTCACAATGTTTCTTGTATCAATTCCCAAAGAGCAGAGGAGCTTTTTGTTACTGTGAGAGCCGCCCCACTGATATCTCAATCCATACGCATCATGGATATCCTGAAGTTCTGTCCACACATCAAGGAGCTCCCTACAGAATCAGTGATAAATCAAGTGAAACAATAGAAGGGAAGGCATGGCAGACCCAGCAGCTTTAAACACTTTATTCTGTGTCTTTAAGTGATTGGAATATTAAAGAGTCCCAATTAAAAACCCAAACCTCTGAGGCGACAACAGTGGTATAAGATTCTCAGAAGAATTATTCTTCCAATTTATAATTAGATTATTATCTGTAATAAATACAATGGTGTCTACTTAGAATTCAACTTACTAACTTCCAGTAAGTGTAAGCAATAAGTCATATCATAATTAACTACCTCTTTCGTATATCATTTAAAGTACACAAATAACTCTCCAGCAGATTAATCTCAAACTACACAAGCAATCACTAAAAGATCAGCTGCACTAAACTAGAATACTTTCTTGATGAAGTGCTAGCAACTAAAGATGCTTTGATAATTATAGCCACTGAACGTTTTAGCCAAAAAAAATCTAAATAAAATAAAATAAAATAACTGAAAATGTACATGTTTGTTTCTTTGCCTTTGTCATGTCCATACCTTTCTGATATGGTCTCCTCAGTCTTTTCAGGCTTATTACCCACTTCCAACAAGAGCTTCAAAGAAACAATTTCCTCTTCCATTTCAGAAACAGGTACAGAAGGAAAACAGGCCTCAAATATTCGTTCTAGACGATTTAGGAGTACTGTCTGCATCAGGACAGACAAAAGCAAAGGGTTGAAAATTATGCATATTGGTGTTCTCCTAGTGTTAATGGAGAAGAGACTAGGAAAAGACATGCCTGAGATAATAATTCTAGGCAGATTCAATTATGTGTTTTAAAAATTGTTATTTCAATGATAGAGCAAGGGAACATAGTTATAGAAAACAGAAAATCTGTGGTCCATGATTCCACTTGCTATGACGAGTATGCCACTGGCTTCCTGGTGCAGTTTTATTTAAACATTTTTATCCCACCTTTCTCCTTAAAAAGAACTCAAGGCAGCAACAACAAAAAGAACAAAATAAACTCTGGGCCATTAATTACTAGTTTAGAATAAGGTCTGCCCGTGAAATGGGAAGTGCAGCTCAACTGCAAAGAATATTCTTGTCTTCATCTTTGGTTTCAGCTGGAAAGAACAGACAGGGATTTTCATTGGTGCTGGCCTATGAAGGCACAACCGCCAAGATGGTAATTTTGCCCCAGAATAATCTCTCCTGTTTATGAATGAGGACTGATAATAATCCCTGCACCTATACTGAATTATCATAGTTACAATGCTATTCCCTGGCTCACTAACCTCTCCCTGACCTTGCACAGAGGTGCGGGGGGGGGGCAGGAAGAAGGAAACAGGCAATGCCCTATTTGCTGACATCCTTGCAGTCAAGCCTTAAAGTAGTACAATTCCACCATGTTGTCTAGAGACAAAAGGCAGCCTTCCACATTTTGTTTGGATTGCAAATCTCAGGGTAATTTACCAGCTATGCTGCCTGGGGCTGCTGGATGCTGCAGGCCAACAGTATCTGAAAGCTGCACTTTGCCCAACTTAATCATCTTTGCTTCCTCCTAAAAAGTTCTCTAGGGCAGTGATCCCCAACCTTGGGCCTCCAGATGCTCTTGGACTTCAACTCCCAGAAATCCTGGCTAGAAGAGGTGGTGGTGAAGGGTTCTGGGAGTTGAAGCCCAAGAACATCTGGAGGCCCAAGGTTGGGGACCATTGCTCTGGGGCATACCTGAGAGCTTCACTTCCCACTGAGGAGTCAAATACTGCACAAACCAAACTATGTGGCCGCCACACAAACTGTACCAAAACCAGTCCATAAAGACCCAAGATCAACTGCTTTTATGCTTTACTCCTTCCATCCTATTTTCATTCCTGCACTGAAACATGTGCTAATGACCACATGGAAGAGAATCAAGGACATTATCTACATTCTTTGGCAGCATTTGTCAAAAATTGGAAACTGGGAAAGTGCCAGTCTAAGAATGATCTGCAGATTGCTGCCTCTCAGAGAAACCTGTACTTCCAACATTATCAGAGCCGAATAGGAACTCATGTCACTGTTGTAAAATCAAAAGGGGTTATATTTACACAGGTAACTCTGAAGAATTATAAAATTTGTACAAATTGTACCAAATGTGGACTACAACTCCACAACCATTTTGCTCAGAGTAAATCCCAATGAACACAAGAGGGTTTACAGGAATTCATCTACCTGGGTGGGCAACTCCCAGCAATCTGAGGGCTGCACATGCCCACTCCACAAGCTTAAAGCACTGCACCCTCTTGCGTTCTCCATGTCAGAAAATGTTTTCTGTATGTTTTTTTTCTTTAATAAAATAAATAAACCTCCTTCTGTCTTCTAGTGGCCACAGGGAATGGTCTCACCATTTTAAGTTGCATCTAAGCTGTTCTATGTGGCTAGTAGTTCTGAAAAAAGATGCCCAAGCCTGAAACCACTCAGGGTTGGTCCGCAAACATGGTGTATTTGCCCCCATACCTAAGAGGAGCCTAATGCCGAGGGAGGTCCGGAAGGAAAGAACAAGGAAACGGGTGTTCTCGGCAGTGGCCTTTGGAACAACTTGCCCGTGGAGATTTGCCTGGCTCCCTCCCTGGGTGTTTTCAGGAGCAAAGTTAAGACCTGACTATTTGAGCAGGCTTTCCCTCCTGCTGTATCTTAATTCTGGCATTTTTGCCATCTTGGATTTATAGTATATATCTATTGCTTTTCCTGTTTTTAAATTTGTAAACCGCCTAGAGTAGACCTTTGGTCTAGATGGGTGGGGTAGAGGTCTAATAAAATAAATAAAATGAAGCAAGGAGAGATTTCTGAGTGAATGTCGGGGAACACCCCCCCCCGGGAAACCACAGGAGACAGATGCCAAGACACGAAGTAGTCGTCAGCAACCATCGAAAGGAAGAAATGTGTATGTTCCCTCTTTATTTAGACTTATATCCCGCCCCTCTATACAAAGTCTACTCTATCCCTCTCTCTATCTGCATATGTTCATGTACAACTGCACACATGAATGAAAACTTGGGCCAGGAAAAAAAATCATGAAGGGCAACTGAAATGCCTGACCAAGGTTGGTGTGCTGGTGAAAAAACTAGGAGTCTGAAAATTTTCTGGAAAGAATTGATCTGTGGCAGATACTTGAAGGATAATGAATTCTAAGAAAACTGATTTGGGGGTGATTTTCCTATCACTATAGAGAAATGAATTGATTTTAGAGAAATTTAGAGACATAAAGAATTGTTTTTTTAAATTGTGCTGAATGCTGCTATCCCCCTGTCAGAAGACACTGAGTAATGTGTGACTATTTGGTCTGCCTTTGACCAGCTACTGTATAGCACATGCCACAGCACTCTGAAACTTAATTCAGGTGGTTGGTTTTATAACCTTAAGTATTAAAAATGGGCAAGAATTTTTTGGCCTACAACTCGCAACGGTCCTAGCCAACAGAGAGATTATGGAAATTGCAGCCCAAAAGCATCTAGAAAGCTACAATTACCTACCTATTATATATAATGCCTGGCCAATAAACAAATGCCATGCTTAGGGCAGGTTTGCAAGGACCCCCCTTAAAAAATCTGTCCTTCCAGTTACTTGTTTGTATTTGAGAAACCTTCTCCTGAATAGAATATGAGGTCTGCTTCAGTGTGTTTCACTAATGGTGTTTTATGAAGACCTCTGGTAACCTTTTCTTTCAAGAAATTGTTTTCTGTTATTGCTGCTGGCATTATATTGACTATCAAATTATTTTTTCTTAGATACACTGCTTTGAATGTCTTTGGAAGATGGTGGATAACATTTTAATAAAAGAGATAAATTTGAACATTTTAGATCTTCTATCTTGCCCTTTCACATCAGGACACTCATTCAGAAGATTTACTGTTTTTTTTAACACCACAAAAATCAGATCCTTCTGGATCTCTCAAATTAATGTTTAATTACAAGTTATATAGTAAAAATTGCCCTGATGCTCTTTGATAAAATAATTGTTGTAAATAATCATCTGCTAGGAACTAAAGTCGACACTGAGGCAAATTCACAAATCCAATTAAAATTATACTGTGTTTACTGGCTCCTTGTCAACATTCAGAGTTAAATTCAGTTGGAGTTTTTAACCAATCTGCTAATGTCTATAACAGCTTTTGTGTGATTATCACTGCATGAGAATACAGTGCTGTTATTATGCTGGCAGAACAAATCAATATTCTATAAGGCAATTCTAAAAATGGGGGCAGCCCAAACAGATAATTATAACTCTGAAAGTGGGACTTCAGATCTGCACCAAACGTGGCACAGATATAGCAGACAGTCTGCAATTGCTCTGTCTGAAAATTTGGGGAAGTTTAGGATTTTACGGTTATGTTTTAAAATTAAAACAGTCTTTCTCTTCCACCACCCCCCGCACAGAAACAAGCAAACTTAAACATCCCCAGATTTAGAACAGAACAAATAAATTGAAAATATCAATCTTGCTTATTTTGAAAGATAATGGTTAGCCTCACCCATTTTCTTTGGTAGGAATCCAGGCTACAGGGGCCAAAATATTGACCATCAAAAAAGACCTTTCAAAAAGGTAAATCCGTGACTTTGTTACAAGCTGAGGATGCTTAGAATAGGCTTACCAGTTTCCAAAGTAAATTTACTGTTGCAGCTTCCTGGCCCAAGAAGGGAGGTATTTGGAGGGCAATGAAAAGTCACAGAAACAGTCAAAATACAGATTTTCTTTGAAGAGTTAAAAAAAAGGCTTGCTTTAAACAAAGTAATGGACTAACAGTCCTCCAGAAAGGGACATTTTGCCCTGTATAAAATTAGCATACAGTTTATAAGGGACATTCAAAGTATTTCTGCATTAGAAAAGCACAGAGCAATTGATCTTGTCTCAGTCCTGAGTGGTTTCAGTAAAGATTTTCTCAGGATTTCTGAAACTAAGCTCCTGACACAAAGTTTTCAACAGGGAAAACAGCTCCAGGTCTAGGGCAATCAGAACTTTTGACCCTGTCAGTCAGGACCCAATTAGCTAATTCTCAGGAGGAGAAATGTAACTCCCTCCCAGCCAAAGAGGCATTCATGCTGGGAAAGGGTTTCTATGTCCAGTTGTAAAAATATTTAAAATCCACTTATGACAAAGAATAAATAACATTAAGAAACTCACTGATTTAAGCTGTGATTTTTTTTTTCTTTGTGGCTGCTGCCATTGGTGTTGTCAACATTCAGGCTGACCTTTGCTATGAAAAGTTTGGCATCCTTTTTCCTGCTGGCAACTGGGGTATGATATTGCATAGCAATATTGGGCGATTTCCTGGCATTCTGAATCATAGATACAGAAGCCGAATATCCCACATTCATAAACTGGAGGTTGTTTTTCTGTGTGTGTGTGTGTGTGTGTGTGTGTGTGTGTGTGTGTGTGTGTGTGTGTGTGTGTGTGTGTGTGTGTGTGTGTGTGCGCGCGCGCGTGTGGAACTGAATCAAATATAACAGAAAATGTACTCAAGTGGCCGCCCCTGGATAGAGAGCTTAGTGACTGTGTGTATGTACATTAGCCTTAAACAACCTTTTACAGTGGTACCTCGCAAAACAATGACCCCGGTAAACGACGAATCTGCATAACGATGACTTTTTGCGATCGCTATAGCGATTCGCAAAACAGTCATTCCAATGGGGGATTTTCGCTGGACGTCGATTAGGTCTGTCCTTCAAGAACCGTTTGTTCACAAGATGACAATGTTCTCCGCAGCCATTTTTACAGCTGATCGACTCTCACAAAATGGTTTCCCTATGGGCGATCTTCGCTGGACAACAAGGTATTTTCCCCATTCGAACGCATTAAACTGGGTTTCAGTGCATTCCAAGGGGAAAAGAGTTTTCGCATGACAACGATTTTGCTAAACAGCGATTTCAATGGGACGGATTATCGTCGTCATGCGGGGCACTGAGCCATTTTTACAGCTGATCGGCTCTCACAAAATGGTTTCCGTATGGGCGATCTTCGCTGGACAACAAGGTATTTTCCCCATTCGAACGCATTAAACTGGGTTTCAGTGCATTCCAAGGGGAAAAGAGTTTTCGCATGACAACGATTTTGCTAAACAGCGATTTCAATGGGACGGATTATCGTCGTCATGCGGGGCACTGCTGTATTTCTGAAACATTTCTTTTAGCTTAAGTATTATGTCGTCTACTTCATCTTACAAATGGAGAATACTCAACTGAAACTCTTATCGAACCGGATTGGTCACAGGAAGTCTCTTTCTGACCTACCAGAAGAATGGTTTGTGATATACAATCCCAAATCCAGAGAAGCTCTTCTGTTTGTGCAACCATTTGTGCAAGACTCCACACAGGTTTTCTAAGACATCATTTCAGAGACTTACTGTACACCTTATTTATTCATCATTACTCATCTTGTAGCCACTTTGTGTCCTTTTAAGGAGAAAGGTGGGGTAAAATATTTTAAATAAACTAAATATTTGTTTTTCATACTGTAACATGACTACTGATACGCTGTTGTGCTGCACTGAAGTTAAGTCTTATTTAGGTGCCCAAAAAAACAAGACTTTTTTGTTTTGCGCATGTAAGGCACTGTTTTTTTTATGAAAAAATACTAGCTCTCATTTATTTAAAAAGTGAAATTTACATCATTTGAATTTCTCCTTTGATCCAATAAAAAGGATTTAGTTTCTGCAGCAGATTAGCTGTTTGCTTTCAGTGGTTTTCATACAGAATCATGATTAAAATTTAACTTATTTGACCATTATCTACCATGCTTTTAGACCATGGCAAGTTTTTACACCATGGCAAATATTTTCTTTCTTATGAAGCAGAGGATGATCAGTTTATAGAGAAGCTACATTGTAGGGAAACATATATTTTGTTCAACCAAACAGCATTCAAAGCCTGTAAAATCTTGATTTTTCATCACACACAAAAATTGACTACTTGACAGGAGGCCACAAATACTTGTAACAAATGGCATTAAGGAAGCTACACACAGGCTGAGATCCTCTTGTTTAACACAGCACATCACTTCAGAGTAGGCGCAATGAATCAGTGGGACCACCTCCTCCACAAGTTTCATGGATTCAAATGCATCTATTCTACTTGCAACTTACTTTAGTGTAGTAAGTCCCAACTAGAGTAGACCCATCTAAATCAGTGGAATTTACAGTGCAGCTGACCCACCAAGTTCCCACTGATTCAATGGGCCCACTTAAAAAGTTTTGCTTTTAAAGCCAGAGGGCAATTTTAGCACTCTCTCTCCCTCAATCTCCTCTAATCCTTAATCTCACATGAAACCAGCTTCTATTTATTTTTATTTATTTATTTATTAAATTTATACCCCGCCCCTCTAGACCATGTCTACTCGGGGCGGCTTACAA